GAAAGCCAGAGAGAAGGAGTAGGTCTTTAGCAATGATTTAAATGACAAAGAGCTGACTGCTCTACACCAGAATATGGGGAATTGTTTTGCAGAGAGGTAAAGCATGAATGTTCCTCTCACAGTCTTTGATAGAGCGCTCAGGGCCCTGTGGCAGCATTTCAAAAGAAGCCTGGTTCTGAGGGAAGACCCCAGACCTGCTGACCCCGGGCAGAGCTCCACTGCAGAGTCACTATCTCTGCTGCAGATGCAGGTGAAGTTCAGTGCAACGCCGCTGCCATTGTGTTTCTTGAAAAGACAAATATCCAGTTACACGTCCAGCTCTGTTCATTGATTTTCCACATGTCATGGAGGTTGGGTCAAATGAAGCAGTGGAAACTCTGAAAGGTACTGATCATTTATTTTACAGTTGGCACCTGTCATGACGGAGAATGTAGTAAGTGCCAGCTATAATTACGTTGAATAATGTGTTCTATAAAAAGGCCATGTTTTTTCAGTTTTATGTTGCGGTGTTTGTCTATATCAGTAGCAGGAATGAATGAAACAAAGCTGTTTTCAAGCAGTGCAATTACAAAGATCCATAAACTGGATCCAGGTCCTTGAACGCACCGTAGCTGTGGTTTGTTTGTTGTGCGACTTTGGTTTACTGCTGACTGCAGCGGTGCGCTGGGAGGTGGAAAACAGACCCCGAGCACTTCAGCTTGGTAAGAAAAGTTTAGCCTCCAGAACTAAACATCTATATGCTGTTAAAACCTGATAGCAATTTACAGGAGGAAATATCAGCTTTTTGACAAAATGCAGAAAACTCCTTTCAACACAAACCTGCAGCTTGAGGGGTTGTTTTTTCATGTGCGGAGGTAGTTGTGGAATTTAACATCTTCAGATCAGATTCACTTCTCTGGTAGATATATATATATATAAATAAATAAAACATCCTTTGGATAATTTGGCAGATCTTTTGAATTGTCAGGCACGTTACATTTGTGTTGGCAAAATAGTAATGTTACTTTTATGCTGGTGGTATATCTTTTATTGTGTTTGTTATGTTTTGCCTTTGTTTTTGCTTTTGGCTGTGATGAAGCCTTCAATAGATCCAAGCTCATAACTACTGTGTGGTTCCTCTGCTAGTGCCAGTAATGTTTCTCCCATGGCTCTGGACTACCCACTTGTTTTGTTAGGAAGACTGCCACATTAAGCCTGAGAAAGGACTCATTTATTTATTTTTATAAAATACAATTATTAGTCATTTAAACAATTGTTATTTTTCTAATTGATATTTGATAGATTTTAGATTTTTTTATTCTGACCTCATCTCACAGACAGTGTGAACAAAATCTAAACCTTCTTTACGTTATATATTGTAAAAGCCTCGAGCAGAATCAAATGCTAATATATGCCTACATTGTCACCCTCCAGTATTAAACAACAAAAAGTAATTCACATTTAGCAACCCTCCAGAAACTTACCAAGAAAAATTGTAACCCTAATAGATAGTCATTTAATCATTCTTTTGAAAAACCATAAGAAGTTAAACATTTTTAAATTTATATTGCCTATCTTCTTTGAATCCCTTTTTTGGCTTTTTGTTCAGTAAAAATGAACACCTGTCAGAACATATTTGCAAGGTTCTATTGAAACGTGTACTAAATCATTAAATCTCATTTTTCTACAGTTCAATGTTGTGATCATAGTAGCCAGCTCTATTAATAATACCGAGGACTTTGGAGTAAGACTGTTGAATCGGTATCTGTTTTCAAGGTCAACCCTCATAATTCCACAAAGTAAGTTGTCTAAGGTAAAAGTGAGCTGTAATAAAAGGCCACATGATTGCATAATTCGTGTAAACCTTTTCAAATAATACCACATGAACCTGACTATGAACATAATAGCTTTTAAGATGACTAAATATTTTGTCATGTCTATAGATGAACTCAAACAGGACTAAGCATTAGCAGCAGTGAAGAAATGGAGACACAAGGATATATAGTTAATTCCTCATGTACTGGTGCTTTGTTACGGTAATGCAAAATTACTTTACTAACATAAAAGGTAATTTTAAGTATTTTTCTATTATGACTTTCTTTTGGTTGTCTTAACTCCTGTTTCCAACAGATATTTAAAGTTTATTTCAAATGTTCGTGTGTATCAGTTCTCATGCAGAGCCCTCATGCAGCTCGGCTTCATTCAGAGTTCCCAGCAGACGTCTCGTCACATCACTTCTCTCTCACCCCATGCTCCCAGATATTTTTTTCCCTCCATTTTCATATTTGCCTCAGCTGCCACTGACACTGACTTAAGTGGCATCACTGTGAGCAATTTATCAGACCTGTAAACAGACTTTGAGGACTTCAATGAATTCTACCTCATGTAACCTCACTATGAATTTGAAATATAAAAGTAGCGAAAGAATGAAAAGGATTTCTTTCATTCTCGTAGGTTAAGTTTCTCAGACAGATTTGGACATTTGGGGAATTTCCACACCTGAAAACCAAGGTTCATGTCTTTGTTACATTGTTTGTATTTGATCCAGTTTTTTTTGCTTTCACATTGCAATTTAGGCCGTAAGTACTCTCGTGCGACATATGTACATCCTGTCATCATCACCTATGTGGGCTGTGTATACCTTTATTTTATTCAATTCAATTGTATTTGTATGGCGCCAAATCATAATATACATTATCTCAAGGCACTTTACATAGAAGGTCAGGACCTTAAAATCAAAATATAGGGAAACCCAACAGTTCCCACAATGAGCAAGCACTTGGGCGACTGTGGAGAGGAAAAACTCCCTCATGGTATTACTACCATCACCACCAACTTCAGACTCAGTACCCAACATTATATTGTCAAAAGCAAAGAATGCAAACAATCCTGACAGCCTGCAAGGGCAACGTTGTTTCTGGATGGACCAGTAAAGCTTCTATTATTGCTGTCTCAATTTCCTGTAATTAGTCCAAGATTGTAAACAATGGTTCAGTTTGATCCAGACCAAGACCACATCTCTTGGTTCAGACTAAAGTCCACAGGTTTCAGTGAAAGTGCCTTTAGTTTACTTTAATTGTAGAGAAAAACACTGCATTGATGCCATTCTGTGATTTCCTGTGTAATTACACCTGTGTGTCCGTCGGTGGTGAAGGACACTGAGAACAACAGAAAGCTGAATGTCTCATCAATAAATAATGAAATAAACAGATTGCGGCGGCTGTCATTTATGAGTGTGCGTCTTTGTCTTTATCCTACTCTACTTCAACAAAGGTCAAACAGGTCTAATGACGCACTCCTTCAGGGAGTCGGGCTCCACACGCAGCAAGGAAAGTCTTTCTCGAATCCTGAAATGAAGGTCAGTTTTCTGGGCCGCCGTTTCCCACAGTGACCATGCCGCCTAGGGAAGAGGAGAAGGAGGATGCAACGCAACACGACCGCTGCACGGTTACGCAAGACCAGAGAAAGTGCAACAACAGCATGGATCCATGGTTCAGAGGAGGGAAAGTGCCGACAGTATACAAAAAACAAAGGCCAGAGAGAGAGAGRGAAAAGAGAGGGCATAAGAGGAGGAGGGGGTAATTCAATCACATCAGCGTCCTCATTCACAGGACAGAGAGAGGCAGAGTTATGAACAACTAATGAAATAAGCAGAAGCTGAGTCAGATATTTGTCCCTGTCTTACTCGCATGGAAACAACAGAGGTGAGGCAAGGAGAGGTAAGAAGGTGTGGGCAGAGGAGACACCAGGCACAAAGCCGGACACATGAGAACAGAGCTTCAGTACAGCACGGCAACGCCTCCATTCCTGCAGGTCAAAAGATCGTGGGTGAAAGACCAAAGAAAACCCCCCCGTGCTACTTCCCATCCACCCTAATCCCTCGGAGCTGAGGCGCACATGCATGACATCACACACACACACACATGTCCATGCCTCCAGATCATCCACTCTTCCATAATAACTTCCCCCCAAGGTTTCTGGTTTATCCCTAGTCTGAGGCCTCTCTCCTCTGAAACTGATATTCACAAAACTAACCCCTGACTCTTCAGATCAATGTTTATGTGATAATGATCTATACTGCCAAGACCTGATCAACCCACCAACCCTATGAATAGAGAATAACAGAGGACTATTGGTCACAATATACAGTATATATATATATATATATGACGTATATACCAACGACAATATTTATATTCAACACAAATATCAATACTAGAAAACTCCAGGGTGGCTAATTGGATTGTACCAACCTGCTCAACCAGAGGGGTGTTCTCAGTAGCTCACATAATCTGTGTGCATTCTTTCAAGAAGAATCTCCCCTGCAACTGACCTTGTACTGGCCAGAAGAGTTTTAATGCTTTCCAAAGTGCAGATTTTCAAAACGTTTCTGTGCATCCATGTGTTCATGTAAAACTGAATATTTGGGAAACGATGACATCATCTCACACATGCCCACTGTTGCCTTGTGTAATTATCATGCAGCAGATACAACAATACAACAATGACAGCTATATACCACTTTCCTTACATTTGTAGTCATTTGTGTGTGGACGTAAATATTCTGTAAAATAGAGATCCGTGTCAATGGAGGGAAAATTGGTGCAGTAGTGTTATTAAGGCATAAAACCACTACTTTTCTACATTCATCAGATTAACATGTAGTTAATATAAGGGAACAGCTGTTATGGTTGAAAAGATACCTGATCTCCTAAGGTTTCATTTCTAAATACTGATCAGCCACAACATTAAAACACGTCACTGGTCTGCAGCTCTGTGATCTTTGAGATATCTGTTCTATTTGCAGCTTCTCTTTCAGGGTTCTTTCATCAGTCTGAGGATATGGATTATAATACCTGGGTGATCTTTTTCACTTTTCACAGCATATTTTCACACAAATGATTATATCTTACTGAATTTTAGAATTTAAAGCTTTTAACAAAGTTAAATCATTTCACCACACCTCACATTACATATTGTTTGTCATGCAGTCCTCCCTGTGTTACTGTAGCCGTGATCTCCCCCGTCTAATATTGTCTACACTATCTCATTCCCATAGCATTCTTGTCAACGTAGTGACATTTAACCTGCAACGATCTAATGCTTTTGGGAAACGATGTTAATTAAAGTCAGCTACGTAAGAGCCATTCCAAAAGCTGCAGTGGAAACAGCCTGTGAACACAACACTGACATATTAAGTGGATATAGAAAACTTATGAGCCCACAGTGACCTATTTACACACCACAGCAGGTATCAAGCAGCATTAGTGTTTATTTAGAGTTGTGTTTTCCCTCTTCTCTTGTCTCTGCTTTCAGCTTCCACCAAATCCTGAAGAAAATATCTGTTTAGCTGCAACAGCAATTGAAATTGAACTGAACTGGAGCTGATGAGAACTCTGGGTGATAATTGCAAAGGCATTCGTAACAAATTACATGCACTGAACTCTGGATAATCTCCTCACATTCTCTTGGAGGCTCTGGAGTGTTGTTAACATCTGAGTGGAGAATCTCTAGCTGTATTGTTCATTTGTGAATGACGAACTCTGAAGTCTAGACCGAATAGTGTGGAAATGTTTTGGAGTGCATGTAAGAATACATCCATATCCACACACCGGCCATGTTTCATGAAACACTGATTATACTGAACCATTGCTAAAATACTAAAACCTTCATCTGCCTGACTTACTTTATACTTTTATTGACGTACATTTATACACATAAAGTTCAACTTTGACTTGAGAAAAGTATAAAATAGTTTCAAGGTTTAACAATAAATCAGACAACTTGGCATTGACAAAGGAGGTTTCTAGAGTGAAATGAAAACGGTTCAAGGTTGTGGTTGCTGCTTCCTTTTTCATCATGGATTAAAGACGCCCTCATATCCACAGGTTCAACCTCTCCATCACCATCATCTGGACAGAGCCTTCTTTTACAATAGACTGCACCTCCCCTTTGCACATAATATTAAACGACAATGTGCATGGAAAATGTGATTCAACTCTTCCAGTATATCACTCTGTTTCAGATTCGATCAACCCTGCTGCGATTCCTCCTCTCCTTCATTCATTTGCCAGTGTGTGATATCTTGGCAATAACACATCTATAAATTATTCCTTTTAATCTAAGACATTACTTTCAACTTATTCCCATCAGCCTCCCCCTCAAGTTCACAAAAACTCCATTGATCCCGTGTTCAGCTTTCAGTCTTTTGAGTCGTTAGTTGACTGTGACATTACGATCACATTTTGAAAGCCTGCCTATGACTGAGATGAAGGATTCACCTCACAGCAGAAGCGCATGTGGTCAGCAGAGGGCACACACCGGTCACGTCAACAGGATACACGCTGCCCAAATGACTGAGATCTAATGAGACGTGATCATCACACTCACATTCCTTGTCTAAGACAAATCATGGCAGAGATTGACTCAAGAAATAGTTGCTCCAAGCTCTTACATGCTCCCTGTAGGTATGTGTCGTTTTTGATTTCCCTGTAGGAGTAGCGATGGTTACATAGGCCAGCTGTCCCTTCAATGAACAGCCAAACTTAGTCCGGAGAGACCACAGTCTGTGAGTCATCCTCCAACCTTTGGAGTTAATAAAAAAAAACTTTCCCATAGGTCCCTCAAGTTCTGTGAGGTGTGACAAAGTACGGCTGATGTCTGGCTCAGATGGCGAACCTCAGTGTGTGTGTGGGGGGGGTGGGGGGTGGCTGTTACTCTGTCTGTCCAATCAACACTGATAACCACAGACTATCTAGTGAATGTGTCAGTTCTGATGCCTCCTTTTCTCGTGTGTGTGTGTGTGTGTGTGTGCTTGTGTAGATGAAGCAAAGAGGAGTGAGTCTCTGTCAATAACACCAAAAATACGTTTTTATGCTTGACCAACAAAAAGAGGTGGATGAAAATATCTGTGTGGAGAAAAGAATGTTACATTCCTCAGACTAATACATCATGTTTCCATCACATGTTTCTGGAAGAACATTCAGAGATGGTAACTCATCCCAGGAGACATTTTCAGGTTTTTATGATGTTCTGGAAAAAAACAGCAACATATCTAATAATTGTGTGTGACATGACGCCCGTGTGCTCATAGTGGAGGGGTGTGGGCTTGTTTTTGGTCTTGGTTTTATTTTACAGTGGTGGTTATGCATTGTGGCTAGTTTGCATTTTCTTTGGAGATAATATCCTAGAAAACAGTCGTGCTGCATTTTGACCGACACTTAAAGGTTCAGTGCGTAAGATTTAGGTGAAAGGGATTTTTGGCAGAAATTGAATATAAAATAATCCTAGTGATGTTTTCACGGGTGTGTTTCATCTAAATTGTATAAATTGCTGTTTTCTTTACCAGAGAATGGGCCCTTTATATTTAAATACTTTATATTTACATGGAGGGGGGTCCTCTCTGTGGAGGCCACCATGTTTTTTAGTGTCATCCAAACTGGACAAACTAAAACAATGTTTCCAGAGAAAACCCCAGTTTTATTGGAGGCAATGGGACGTTTCATTTTGGTTGCTTCTTAATTGTGTTATATCTTCTTTACCCTTGTCTTTGCTAACCTCTACTCTAACTTCCAGAGCAAACAACGTATGACAAAGGAAAAATAAACTCCTAGCCAGTTAGCTTGGCTGTTTTTTGCCTTCTTTGCCTTTTTATTGGTCACTCGGCTGATTTGCTGCATAACGTAAATAAAACTTACATTACCTCATCCGCAAACATGATTTGTGCCTGAGTCGTGTCTGGTAGATTTTAAACAGCAATCATAGTTAAGACCACAACTCCCATGACCTCACGTTGCTTAACGATGTCATCAAACACGTTTTTTTGTTGTTTTGATTGAGACCCCTAGTGGCTGAAGTTACACGTTGCAGTCTACATTTAAATGTTTCATAATGAATTATATTTTTCCAATTCTGTGCCATTTCAAAAACAGAAGAACATTTTTAACCAGATTTTTCACATGGACCAGCAGTCCATAATAAATTATGATGCAATATCACAGCAAATGAAAAGGATAGATAGTGATTAAAAATGCATGAGCACTGTAAGCTATTTTCTCTACTGGCTACAGTGATTTATTTATATTTTATATTATTTTATAGTGTGCGTGAGGTTGTGTTTTGACCCATGTGCGGTGTATAAAAATGTGGCGCAGTGAGTTTATTATTATAAAGTGCATTATTATATACACAGCATGCGCCATCATTCTGTTGTGACACACACACACACACACACACACACACACAAACACACACACACACCTAGAGGGAGAGAGAGGACATGAGGGGGGAGAGCTGGGAGGAGGAGGGCTGTGCGCAACGTCGGTGCCAATAGGCGCAGCGCTCTCTAATTAAACCCCTACCACGTAATCCCAGCGTCACCATCCCCCCATTTAAATCCACTCCATCAGATCACACTCCTTAAAACCCACTGTCCTCCGCAGCTGTCCCGTCCCGGCCCCTGGAGGAAGAGAAGCAGCAGCAGCAGCCAGAACCAGGTCCGCACCGCGGCACCATCACTGCTGCCTCTCGCCTGAACAGTAACATGGTTTGCAGGGTTCGGCTGCTCTAGCCAAGGGCCACTTCAGTCAGTCACTCAGCCGGCGTGTGTGTGTTTGTGTGTGTGTAGATGTGTGTGAGAGTGCAGTAAAGGAGCACACACAGCAGCAAACCAGACGGAGACATCCAGCAGCGTTACTCTCCCCGAGCTCCAGGAGGAGACGCGTCCAGAGCGAGCCCCGCATCCCTTCATCTCTCCCCCGGCTGTCCTGCACACCAGCGCCGCTGGACCGGAGCAGGGCTACTACCCCTCCATCACCTCCAGCTGCACCGACACTACATCGGCTCCATCGGGTAAGAAAGGGGGGGGGGGTCAACATCCATGTACTCCTTAGATGTTCAGCCTCAATAAAGTATTGCTTTATCTGTGGTGACGATTTCAGGCTTGTGGAAGTGCGACGCGATCGGGTTTGTTTACGCGCAGAAACGGTGCGGTATCCCGCTGTGTGGTGACAATACACCGCCGCGCAGGCTTAATGCATGACCGGGAACATGCGAGCTGGAAATGTGCCTTGTGTCTTGATGTGTTTAAGATCTCAAGAGTGAGCGTTTTATCCGAACAACTCAGAGAAATCCAAAGCAGAAAGAAGCTGTTTTAGCGCAGCCAATGGGATGGCAGCGTGCACTACAGGCCTGCCATTTTTTTTTATGAATGATCCCTACGCGGGACGAGAAGGGATGGAGAGATGGTGGAGTCAGTGCATCCAGGTCTCCTCCTCAGTGTTTCAGCCATGAGGGGCATTCAGCTCCCACCTGGCTGGAGGAGGGAGGGAGGAAGAAAAAGATGGAGATTACATCCCTATTTCTTACCTTGCATGGATCCTTCCCTCGGCTATAAGAAGCATGATGAAGCTGCTGAGTACTTTAGTCAAGAACTTTCTATCATATTGTGATATGAAGACTGAGAACCTATTGGATTGTGTGTGTTTTTTTTAATTTTTTTTGCAGTTTAATGACCCATAATGTTAAAATCTTTTCTCTGTTAGTGAGTAATCGGTTGATTACAGCCTTCCTAACCAGTTTACAATACATCTTGTGGCCTGCACAGTTGGCCCACGCCCTCTTACAGCTGCTATCTTCTCCGCATCCCATGGATCATGTGAAACCAGTGATTTCTCATTTATTCCACTTAGATAGACCTGAGCCTCTCTAGTCGATTGACAGTAGTGATAGGGACGGCATAAATAAACCGAGAAGCAGGGGCCCTGAAGGGTCTACAACATGTCATCTTTAATTATCACTATATGTGTGTTTGAGGCCTCTGCTCTTCTTTTTCCTGTATGAGATAACAAGCAATGTGCGCGCTAATGCCTGATTCAGGCCCCCGCTGTACCATGTGCTGCTGAATCAAAACATTTGCCTCCACGTCTTCTTTTCGAAATGCCAACCAGCTGTTGCGCTCCTTAGTATAATCGGGTATAATCCTTTCAGATTTCACTGGTTTCTGTCAGGCATGGCATTTGGCACCAAGAAAAAGTGAAATTTGCACACCAAGTCACCTGTTGTCCGCTGGAGAATATTGAAAGGAACCACATGAGCGGCAGTTCTAGGGTCGGAGGGCTCCACGACCATTCTGCAGTTGTCATTTATGCCGGTTAATGATAAGAAGAGCGACGAGCCAATGAGGTGGCCAATTGGGTCTGACCTCAGGTTAATGGAAATGCGGTGCACGCTGGAGATTGCATTGGGAGATTGTTTCCCAAGGAAACCTCCAGCCTCCAAAACCTGCTCAACACGCAGAAATGCGGCTGATGTTTTGGTGTTTAGCCTGCATGTGCTAATGCTAGTGTAGTGGTTACATAAGACGATAAATGTGTGCTGAAGCACTACTCTCTCAGTCAGTCAGGCTCATAAACACAGTCGCCTGCACCACAGATACACTCAGCAGTCATAACTTGTATCCACATCAGCAGAGCTTTTAACCCTGTGGCGTTAAGCACCTTGCAAACGGTGTCTTAGTTGAGGTGTGTGTCAGTGTGGCAAGTGATTTGCGGTGCAGGAAGAGAAAGAGAGCGGGAAGTGTTTTCGTGATCATCTCGTCACCTCTTCAACGGCCTATTCATGCTTTTCTCCTCTATGTGCAATATCCCTCTGTTCTATACCACAGGCCCTCATGGGAATGATCCAGTGTTGCTCATATATGACCTTTCTCTCATATGACGCGACTACAAATCCTTGACAAGATGCCCCGACCGTCAGTACAGCATGTATAGAATACATAAGTACAAAGCCCGAAAGTCACTATGAATTATGGTGTCTGTCTTTGCCATGTGAATGTAGGTCAGTGGTGGATCATGGGATACACACACTGCAGCTGTTCCTTTCTTCCAGAGAAACAAGTGAAATCTTACATTAGTTCTGATGCCTGGAAACCTTGGTGCAGAAACTTGGTCCAGCGGATGTTCCGGCAGCTTGATGGATGTGGGAGGCCAGGGGTTTTCTCTTGGATGACTCCAATCGTTTTATGGAGAAAAGAGCCTCGAAAGAGGAAAAGATGCTCAGTGTAAAACGTCTCTGTGGTCTGGTGGTATAACGCAGTGATGGGGAGCAAATGGTGCTGTTTATGTTTTACAAGAGTTATGTTTTGTCTTCAGCACTCTGTTCTTAATGGAAAATACTAAGTGGCTCATTTTCCCATTAACTGTTATCGTGATGATTGCGAAGATAATGATTGCTATTAGCTATTGATTTACTCAATAGGAGAGACTCTCCTCACCAAAAAAAGACGGCATCGGTTGCATGTTCAAATGCTTACAAATAACGTAACAATGGTAACAAACAATTGTCATTTTTTTTACAGAATACCTTCTATATTTGTACTGAATCTGAGTTATGAACATACTGTAAAACTGTTGCTATACTGTCTGACATTGATGATGACAATGTGGGTCACATCCCGTCTACTCTGTTTCCCTATAAAGCTTCTGAAAGCAGTTCTTTGTGCACTTCATGGTAAGATAAGCAACAATTTAAGTCAAAGATAAACAACAAAGAGAGAAAAGAGTTTGTCACTTACACAGTAACGTTTGTCACGTTACTGTGTATATTAAGATTGTGTGGGTGGTTTGCTGCCAAAAAAACTTAAATACATGCTGATTCAAACATTCATAAGCACATATTAGGACACAGACTTGTGACATCACATTGCTCCTACTTCGATGCAACAACAAAAACAGAAATACAAACATTTATCAACTGAAACCAAAACTGTTCAAGGTTTGAACAAATGTTTTGTGCTTATGCACTACTAAATAATAGTAATATGACTCATTTGAATGGCTTTTGACTGTGATCGAAATAACCTCAACCAAGTTGCCCAAACTTACATTTGATATAGTGTAGGTGCCAGAGGAAAAGTCCTACTTTCCACATAACAAATTTGTTATTCAGGTATGTGGATATTTTGCAGTTCAACCAGATCAGGATATGAACCTGTCTTCCTGGTATAAAGTAATGTACTGTATTTGCAAAATGCCCTAATTTCACTGGTGTATGAATGTATTCATATTATATTTGGGCAGTTTGAAATTAAGATGCATTAAAGGGATACTCAACACAAAGTTTGGGAGAGAAGGAACATTTTAAAACAGAATTGTTGCCTGCAGAAGCAAAGATAATCCAACTCTTAGTGCCCAGCATGGAGCATGCTCCAAAAAACTGGTTCCTACAATTCCCATAATGCAATTCTAAAGCATCTTCCATAAAACTCATCTAAATGACCACATCTATCAGACCCCACACCTTCAGTTTGTAACCCTGGTTTGCTTTAAATGACCATTGCATGCTAATCACAAAACCAGTAAGGATGACAATAGACTCAAAGAGCTAGAATACTTTGAAGAGTGATGTTTTATGGTAAGCCTTCTCTCTATGAGGCCATGCTTTCACATAGGGGAGTGGGATGGGAGGGATGTGGCCTGCAGGGGTTGACACGAGGTCTGTGTTTCCCATGAACGCTGTCCGCCCTATAATCTGCCCTGATCCTAGTGGGGAGGGGTGTCTCCTGCCCACATGCAGTCTGATAATGCCGGTGATAAGGCTGAGAGAGCAGCTGCTCTGCTGGAGGCGGACGGCAGAAATGCAAAGCACAGCGCGAGAAAGCTAACATCTCTTACTGATCAATCTGACCTGATGCTTGACGTAGGAAAAAGCTCTGTCAGTGATGACGTTGAGGTTGATCCTTACAGCACAAATTAACATGAGAACAGTGGTTGGTATAAATGGACTGAGGATGCCTGCTTTTTAAATGAGTATGAATCAGACGTGAAGCTTAAGCAACATGATTGTTTAAACCTCGGGTTGTAGGGAGATCGAGCTGCTTTGTCTCCAGGGAATTCAATCAAAAGGCCCTGGTCTCAAATAATTTGACAGAACTGGTGTGTGTTTCCTACAGTTGTCTTCTAATAAAAACATAAAAACAAATCAAGTGGGTTAAACCAAGAGAAAAAAAGGATAAAAGAAATCACATGAATATACAGTAAGTAACAAAGCAACATATGAATGGAGTTTTTCCTTAATAAATGACAGTAATTGTGCTGGTTCACCTCCTGTCCTCTCCTATACTTTCCTCTCCCCTAACCATTAGAAGGCTTAAAGGGCAGCCAATTACTCCCAGAGCTTGGCATGTGGTTGCGCTAATGAAGTCAGGGGGGGAAAAGCGTGTGCGGTGTATGTGTGAGTGTGTTTTTAAGTATAAAATGGCCAACAGCTCTCAACTGATAAGGCGTGGTGGAGAACACATACTCGCTGCACACTTTGCCAATACTTCTGTTTAGATCATATCTCAAAGAAGCCTCTTCCTCTTTTCCTCTATCTGTCTTCCTCCTCTGGCGACCAGTGGTGTCCTGTCAAGACAAGCGAGGTCAGCAGTGCTCGACTAGTTAAAGCTAAAAAAATAGACACCCATTAGAACAATACCGAAGTGTCCCATGAAGGATCTTGATGTTTTTGTCAATCTTGTAATTTAGCACCTGACAGGCAGTGTGTATTTGTGTTTTAATACCACCCAAGGTCGGTGTTTTCCCTAATTTCAGGCAACTGTAGTGTTGTCTTGACCGCTCCCGAAGCCCTTGGTTCGGGTAGAGAGAAAAATCCAGAAAAAACGTACAGATAGCAGCTTCTATAAGTGGCCAGCTAATGCCACAAGTGTGTTTGTCAAACTGTCCTCAACTCAGCTTCCAATATTCAGAAATCAGTTGTGATATTGCATGTATTATGATGAAACATATGCACACTGATGTGTTTGGAAGGTGCACATACATAATGACAAACATAATGTATTTTCTTCCTAAGCC